CAAGAACATACATACCCCCAGATGAGCTTTGTACCTCTGAAAAGGCGAGATGGTGTTGTAGTAACCCTCACCCCTCCCCTCAAAGCACTCCCATGCATATTTATTTTTGATTCTAATGACCTCAATGGCAGGATGCTATCTAGAATGTGAAAACTAATCATCACAGAACAATCTCTTTCACTCATCCTCAGGCCCATGTACAAGGACACCAATCAAGGTGTTACACAGTGAATATCAGTCAGAATTTCCTTTCAACTCCTTCTATCCAGTATCTCTGAGCCCCAATTTCTTTCTTTTTCCTGTTTTGATCCATATGGTGGGTGATCATATGAGCAGTGAACCAGTAGCTCAGCACTCTTTCAGCCATAAATTTCTAAGCCCTCCCAGCTGTTGTCAAAAAGGGTAGTATTTCCTGGTGGTGTCAATGATCAATACAGATCATCTGATTGTTTTGTACAATCCCAGAACTTTGAATTGGAAGCACTGATTAAAGTGAGTCTCCATTCTAATAAGGAGGTCTTTCAAAAATTCCTTTTTAACCTAAAAATTGCAGTTTTGACATGTTATGGTCTGAGATGGTGTTAAAAAATTGAAGAGCCCCTTAAACGCAATACCATTAAGCCCTTCTTCCAAAAAGCTCCCCCCTCCCCATCTCCCCCCATGCACATGTGGACAAAAATCAGGAACTCCTGTAGGGGTTTCAGGAGGAAATACAGTAACAACATAGAATACAACCAAAAGAAATGTTATCCACTTCAAAAACTAATTTACTTACTGAGCCAATGCATTTTCATTTTTTTTCCGAGCAAGCATGTCTGTGATATTTCAAAATTGAAAGCAGAACTTGGTTTACATTACGGTATGCAATGATCAACTCAAAACTAATCCTTAACATGTGGAAACCTCGGAAATAATAAAGAATCATGACAGGGTGAGAGACTGGGATGGGGGAACGGTGGGAGGGGGATTGAGGAATTGACTATGTCGCATTCTGAGGTGCCCTCCAGTTAACAACCACAAAGAAGAAAGTGGTATCATTCAGTAGTTTGTCTAGAGTGAAAGGACTGGTGCTTTGAAAACCTGAGTAAAATTCATCTTGGTCAAGTGAAACATTGGTAGTCAGTTGATCAGGAAATGTCATTAAAATGCTGGATCAGTTTGCTGTAATGTTGTTGGTTGTGTCAAGCCATTAATATGTAAAGGCAGGTAACAATCAGTTACTGATCAGTTATAGCCTGATTCAATTGGTTTATTTTTGGTCAAGTTTGTGTTGAACATCATGTGAGTTCTGTTGAGGTCAAGAAATCTGTTAAAGACTACTATAAGGTGTTAGTGGTTGTTGGTACAAGTTAAACAGTGCCTGTGCTTAGTTAGTTTGGTGGCCAGTTGTTGAGGGTATGTTGTACTATAAGTATTAATTTGCATGGAGATAGTTAGCAGTTTGGTCTAGTTCTTTTTGTTCAAAGTATACTAAAGGAAACCTTCCCATTTTCCCCAATTATTCCCTGAATTCTCCTGATTTTGAAAAATGAAAATTTCGCTGACTATTTTGGATCCTGACATGTGGCAGTCTATAACAATGGTACATCACTTGGAAAAGAAAAAATAGTGGTGCATTTTAATTTTTTCCTTCCCTAGAATTTCATGACCCTATTTTTGATGACTTGGGGGTACCCTGTAGGGATGCCCTAAGGGGATTCCCCTGAGAGAGCCAGGTTAAGTTTTGATTTGATCATTGCATAAGAACACAAGTGTTTACCTGGTCCTGGATTGCAATAAAATTATCAATCTAGAATAAGCCTATGCATATCTTCCTCTTGTCTTGTCCAGTATGAGGTATTTTGTCTTCAGCTGTTCAAAAGAAGAAATAGAAAAATTTAGATACTGTATTTAATTATTTATGGTGTAGTGGCATAACACTAAGTGAAATGGTCACCAGATTAAGAAGCCTTTCCAATCTCCTTGAGTTATGTTCTTGAATACAGCATGTTACTCAAACAGTCACTTGTAAACTTCACCCAGGAATATAAATGGATACCAGCAACCTACTAGACTAACACGACAAAATGAGGATAGCCTGTGTTGGAGTGGCATCCCATACAAAGGGATTAGGGTTACTGTATATGTTCAGAGCTGTCTCACGTCCAAGGGATGTACACGCAGCATGTCTGGTTTAAACTGTAGACACCTAAACCCCTATATCAAATTAAAGCTTATAGAGCTGGCTATCAAACTGTATCATGAATTTGAAATAAAATGAATTGTTGAATTTTTCATGACCACTAAATGCAAGCGTCCGAGGCACATTTTAAAAGCTACAAGTCCAAGTGAAATTTGGTTTTGGTAATTTAATTTGTTTCTCATTTTCTGGACCCAAAGCACTGAAAAAAGAGTGTCTGCATTTTGCCATATTCAATTTCAGCAAAAAGTTACAGAACATTATTTTTCAAAATAGGATTGGAAAATGTGGAGTAATCGTACAAAAATCGTTCTTGGAGAAATACATTTTGACATAAACAATTCGCAGGCTTGCTTTTGTTTTTATATGTTAAACTAGATATTGTCCAAATTTGAGGGCAATCGAAAAAAAAGTTCCCTTTGGGTCATAGCTCTCTAAAGTGTCTTCTTCAAGCGAAAACATTTATTTGAGAAAACAGGACTCAAAATTAAAAAAATCCTTGAGTCACCATTTGGCAACTAAGTGGTAAAAAATAGTCAACAAATGCAAATTTTTAGTCACCAGAGCATAAAATCTAATAGAAGAGAGACAATCCATACGCATACATGATGTACTCAATGCTCAAGGGTTTGCAATGCATTATAGTGCAATTTTGAACATGGGCAGCCCTTACAACTTTTCCAATGTGAGAGGATCGTTTACAGTCTTTACAGCAAAGCAAAGGATGAATTGACTCTGTGCACATATTATTTAGTGTGCCCTAAAATAAAGAAGCTGCTGAATCAGACATAGTGATCCAGTTGGTGATCAGAGTCCCTCGTTTGTTTTGTTATATCTGTTCGAATAAATCATATCTTTCATCTGACTACAAGTAAGGTCATTTCCTTTGAGGTAACAGTGAGTCACCCACTGGCAACAAGTTCTCAATATTTGGTGACAAACACTCGACTTTTGGTCGTATTGGCGACCACTGAGTCGTAATTTCAGGCCCTCTGAAACAGTGCTTAAAGTCTCTTGCCTCACAAACAATCTCTGCCCACAATCACCTTCAACTGGGTTCTCAGATAACTGAGACAATCAGTGCTGGGAAAGTTTACCACCATTAATTTCCTAGTGAAAGTTATGCGAATCTCCAAAAAACCTTCCTGTCTCACATTGCGCTCACAGCTTGGTCTTTCTTGTAGATGATCTAACAAAGTGGAGAAGACGAAAAAGGATACGAACGCTAGAGCACCTGGGCAAAGGAAACAAAATAAAGAGGTGCAACTGTGCATGGATAATATTCAATTAGTCTGACAATTTGTCGGTATCAGACTCATCAAAAAGGTCTCTGTCAATGTTGCTGTTATCACTGTCAAGTTCCCAAATGTTTACGGAACCTTTCTTTTCTCGAGTCACTTTTTTTTTGCCTTCTTGGTACGACAGTTACAGCTTCATTCACAAGGCCAACTTTCACTTCTCTGCTCATTGATGTATTTTTATTCGTTCTTCGCTTTTTTCGCTTTTCTGAACTGCTCCACAGACATTTCTGTGGTCCATGTTTACTTATACCAGTAACTTAACAGAATTACACCTAATATGAGAAATGCTTGGCTGTCAGAACAACAATACGCTGGTCAACTGAGAAGCTAATTTGTGACATCCATATAGGTAATTCCCGCAAAAGCAAGGCACCCTATCCCTGATAATTAAGTGCCCTCCCTCCCAAATGTAAATTTATTTAGCAATCACATCATACATGTAAAGGAAGTCACAGCGGACAAATATTTCTTGTGACATCTATCTCAACAATAATTCATATGATATAAATTATTGGTCTTCCAAGATAAGTACCACTATTCTGATTTACATGAGCATGTCCCCCTGCCTTTAATACAACCCCCTCCCCCCTCCCCAACTCAAAAAAAAAAAACTGCATCCAGATGTTTACAGCACATGTGGATCACTTCTGATACTTTTATACAGAACAAAGTAAGATAACTTCACTTCTGATAATTTTATACAGAACAGAGTAGGATTAACATTTTACCGTACTAAGAACCACTGACAGTGAGGGTAAAGCATATTTTTCATTTCATCTCTCCAAATAATCAAGTGCTCACCTCTCTCGATATCGAGTTGACTCACGTGCTTCAAAACAGAACTCTCTAGCTCTTTATGAAACGACTGACAGCATGCTTCACCTGAGTATTGTAAATACACACAATGATGACTACAAAAACATCTCTACAAATTAAGAGGGAGAGTAGAACAAGGAAATCTTACGTGAGCTACTTTGCGGTTCTTCGCAACATGGCGGAGCTTTCCTTACAAGGCACGCTGGGAAGTTTTATACAACTCGCGAGCTGCCCACGCGAGGGCATTTTTACTGTCTCGGGATAAGAGAAATGTTGTACTCGCAGGTTAAGCATAAAAGTCGTAAAATGATACCTGTCAAAGAAAATAAAGAAAATAAGCGCCCCCTCCAAAGAGTACCTTTCGCAGGTTTCAGATATATAAAAACAGAAAGATTTTCACAAATTTAGGTACACGAAGGGGTAGGGAAATGGTGTATGTTTACTCCAACCAGTGTCTCTCTCGCTCCAGGGGGTGGGAAGATGAGAGACCATGGCAACGAGGTTGTCCGTACTCCCACCAAAACGTGAACTGGACAAATACTACTCGTTTCTTTCGGTTAACATCTCGTGTGGTAATGCTTGATGCTCTCTTGTAATAGCGTTCATTAACTTCATTCCAAAGGTCTAGAAAAACGACTGCACTATTGCACTGTTCTTAAATACAGTCAAAGCTCTCCTTGCGACCACTCTCGTAAGCGACCAGCTCTAGTTACGACCACTTTTATGAAACCCCGTTTGAAGCTGTCGCGACCGTTCCCATAAGCGACCGCGACCACTTTTGGGATTACCTAACTGGAGTTTTCCTTTTTTTTAAGCTCTTGTGAGCGACCACTCAGAGTCTTTTACATATAATTCAACGCTTAAATGAAACTGCACACTGCGCTCATAGTTATTTTGGTCTAAAAAAATGAATATATAAGTTAGGCCTTTTCTATCAGTCAGATTTAAAGACACTCATTAGCAGTAATTTCTATTGTTTTTTTCTTTACGAATTATTAATGAGTTTCTGAAGCTCTCGTAAGCGACCACCCTCTACTGTTCTATCATGCAGTCACTTACAAGAGCTCATTCTTGTAAGCGATCAGCTCTAGTCACGACCACCTTTTTGAATTTCCGAGGTGGCCGCTTACGAGACCTTCGACTTTAAAAGCTAATAGATATGTGAAAGGATTGGTTTGTTTTCAATAAACGGTTAATTAAGGGCTGTCGCTTTTCTGTCGAAATGGTAAACGAAAGGATAAGCAGTTGCACCTTCGGGGGTAACCTCCCTGTATAAAACCCCCTAAATTACACGCCCAGGGGCTTAAGCCCCGTCCAATCATCGGTCACTGTCACCGGTTATTTTGGTTATCGTGACGTCATCGTTTTCGAAAAGGTCCGTTTTCAAAATGTTTTCCGTCCACACTAAAACGCAAAGCCGGCTTTTTCGAATTGCTCCAGTTTGAAGAGTGCTTTCGAAAAACTCCGCTTTCGTGACGGATTAGTGTGGATGGTAAGCCTAACCGTAGTAATATAGCTGCGTTTTCAAATTCCTCCGGCGTAGTGTGGACGGAAATCATTTGATGCGTTTCAGAGTGAAAAAGACGTTTTCAAATTTCTTTCGCGTAGTGTGGACGGGGTCTTTGGATGCTATAAAAATCGCAATGTTCACTAGTAATTTTTATGGCATGCTAAACCTTGGCCGTAAAATTTTTCGACTGTAAAACCTACAAAACCAAAATAGTCCTTGGAATCTCTTGGGGGCTGGGAGAATTCTCGAAAGTTATGCAAACCCTGGACAGCTCACCGGGTTTGTATAGATAGGTTTTTCATAAAACAATAATTCCACTCGTCCTTGTTGTATATGAGTTGATTATACTATCAGCTCATATCCAACACGCGCTCGTGTTGTTAACAGGGGGCTTAAGAAAACCGCGACGGCAACGGCAACGTCGCTATAATTCTTGGTACATTTCTTTGGTGTCCTTTGCAAAATAACAACGTGAAATGACCAAATTCAGCGTTGTCTGGAGAACGTGAACCACGACGGCTAATGTTTTTCATTTTTATTTCGAATTTATCGATGTGTCCTAGATTCAGTTTCGTGATAGTTTTGACACTGAGAATCAAAGTAAATGACTTTAAGGTACCGCGAGACCCGTAGGTAAAATATAAAATCATTTTTAATCGACGTTGTCCTCGGCGTCGCCGTCGTGGTTTCTTTAATTGAAAGCTCCCCAGTTACACAAACTACGCAAGACGATCCGCCATTTTTGAGCCTTTCATATGTTTAGAAATTGTTGCGTTTGTTCATTCCCGGCCAACTGTTTTTGCTATTTACTTGTAAATTCAAAGTTGTAAAATCAGCCTTAAAGATTTTATTGCACTCAAGACAGCCTTGAGTTTTACTGTCTTAACAGTCATTTAAAGCCAGTCTAGTCAATAAAACTATCACACACAAAAAAACATTTTTAATTAAACAAATTCTAAACATGCCTTTATTACTAAAGTTTTGACATGAAAGGGAAAGCCAATCGTCTTAACATGGAAAGCAATTAACGCATGGACACCTGCAAAATAAAAAGCAATCTAGATAATAATAGGGTGGTTGGATCATTAATATAAATGTGGTAAAAGATGAGTATTGGCCGAATGACAAGTGAATCACAGCTTTCCCGGCCTTTTCACAGTGAAAGTCTCTTTTTTAACCAACACTGCTCAATAATTACAGTTGTACAGGTACTGGAAAAAAACTTCCTTTCCGATATATTTTTTTGCCGATTTCACGAAATTTATCTAGGATTTCAACATAAATTGGGGAGAAATATAAATTGGAGAGAACAATTATATTAATATTAATATTCCCTCATATCAAAAGCAAACATCAAGTTTTTTTTTCTTGCAATATTATCTGGGCAAAGTTTGGCTGCAGTCTTTCATATATTCTCCGTTAAGCTTCATTTTTACGCAGTCTCATATCGAGTCGTAGCTATTTAGGCAATGCGAAGTATATCCTTTACGATTTTTTTGGAAATATGACGAATCTCGCGATATCGCCAGCAGTAAACTAGAGGGTTTATTGAGGAGTTGAGAAGAAGCAACAATAAGGAAATTTGATAACCTGCCAAAAAAGATACCCGAAGTTTATCCACCATTAACAAAATCGTACAGCATAAATATGGAACATAACAAGCTAGAAACACAACATAAACAATCAAAGCATTGATGGCCGACTTTCTTTCTCGGAGGGCGTCCATTGCTTGAGCATTTAACGCTTGATTTTGACTTTGAATTTGATTCTGGTGATGTCTCACAGTTTTATAAATGCGAAAATAAGCCACAGTTGTGACGAGAAGGCCAACCAATTCAAGCACCTCCGATACCCTGTCGTTGTTATTGGGAAGTGATATGTACATCGAAGCTGCAGCACCACTTGTCAACCACAAACATGCTAAGGCTATGTTAACACGGTTTGGAGTCACAAGCTCTTGATAACGGAGATGCAGAAAAATTGTAAGAAGTCTGTCGAAAGCGATGAAAGTCACGTGCAATAGCGATGCACAAGCCAGAAAAAATAAAGAAAAATGACATATGGTGACCACAGATGGACAAAACATGGAGGAGTTGTAGTCTCCACTAACCGTCATCTTTAACATCACTGCAATCACTACACCAAACATTGGTTGCGCAAATAATCCCATTGCGAGATCGGAAACCGCAAGGCTTAGGAACAACGTCTTTAAAGTAGCGGGTATTGAC